AAAGCCCCCCCAAAAAAATCCACCCGAACTAGACCTATTGAAGCGGCAGGCGTGCAGACGAGGAAACCTTAGAACACACCCCCCCCCATGCGGGCTCTGATCTTTTGGAGCTTCGCAGCCCGGCAGTCTTGAGTAAATGCTCGTACCTTCAGTTCCTTCTTCACCCTGTCTCCTCTCATCCTGACACCTGGCTTTTTCAGCCAAAGTCATGATTTCTAGCACTTCCACACCCGAATCCTACAGTCTGAGCACTTCAAATCCTGCGCCCTGCGCTCCCTGCCCTAAATCCGAACCGCACGCTTCTGCGACCGGGGCAGGCGGCTTCAAATCCTTTCGGCACGCCTGCAGCTGCGGACCCGGGCAATTGGTTTAAGGCCTAATTACGGCGTGTCGGGGTCAGAGCCGCTTCAGGGTTTCAGGGGTTGAAGTTGAACGGATTGGGCTCAAGGCCTGTACATTGTAGGAGTTGAAGCTTTTGTTCTGTTGCTTTGCGGCTTAGGCGCCGAAAAGAGCGCTGATCCAGGGCTTAGCTTTCGAATCAGGTCTCGCACACAGGCCATGCAGATCCCTACCAGCAGTAGGCAAAGAAATGCCTGAAAACTGCAGTTGGTGGCAGACCTGTTGGTGACCAAGACCCTAAGACCTGACCTGAAATTTTCAACATCTGCGAACCTTTGGCCTGGACCTCCATATGTTACAATCGTGAAATGTACTATCTCCAACGTACTTTAAAAAACATTGTATCCTATTCTCGATTCTGATTTTTTGAGCTACTGTAGTGTTAAATAACGTAGTATCATAAAACATCACGGACACGGCAAGATGTTGTAAGATGCAGTAGAATGAAATGCAATGCGACACAATAAAGGTTGCGTTATAACATAAAACAACATGGTGTGATGCCATCTAACATTGCCAAGACCGTACATCATGTAATACAGTCGGGTAAATATAACATACATAGAACAAAAAATTATGTAGTATACATGCCGATACATACCAGACCTGCATACATGCATCCATACATGCTTGCATACATGTGTGTATGCACGAAAATGTGCACGCTTATCTGTACCCACTCCTATTTCTTTCTTGGCAACTAGTTTTCTGTTTGTATCCATATACTTATTCATATCTTTCTCCATATAATTATACATATCCTTATCGACATCTACATCTGTACGCGCTTTTGCTGTACAAAGGCCCTTGCCAGCGGGCGCTGCGCCTCTGGCATCTCCGACATTTCTCAGGTGGGAGAGAGAACTCAAGACTTATATCAGAGTATAGTAGAGCAGAGTTGAGCAAAGCATGGTTTCGTATGGTATTGTACAGTTGAGTATGGTATTGTATAGGATAGGATACTACAGCACCGTGTAGAAAGGTTTTGTATTAACTGCTATGCTTTCGTTCAGTCGAGTATAATATAGTAAATCCGCAAGACCACGACTCTGAGCCCCTGGCTGCACTGGGGTCGGGTTTAGGGGTTTGGGGTTTTAGGGTTTAAGCTTTAAGGAGAACCTCGAATGCTACCACACCGTGTCAGGCTTCTAATCCCGTTCCCACGGACCCAGCACCTATGAAAGGTGAGGCCGTTTGGGATGCCTTCGCCTGGCGAACAGAATGCTGCGCCGCACCAAGTTTTGAGTTGTGGGTTAGTGTAAGTGTAAGTTTCAGCACAGTTGTGAAGTACGGGCGGAGCTTTAATCTAAGTTCTCCGGCCCGCTTAATTAAGGGTTCAGCTTTCAGAGTTGCCGGCAGAACAACGGCGTGCTTCCATCCCCTGTGTCAATCGAACGAAGGCCTTCCACAAGGTGCCACACGCGCTACAGGTGCCCTTGTGGCCATGCCACCAGCCGCGTCAATTGCAAATGTGCGCTGGCATGGGTCAAGAGGCAATGCCAAAGTCGCAGAGAGCACAAGCAGGTTTTAGAAGCCGTGCCAAGAGCAGCAAACGAGCACTTGGACCTGACAGGGGGGGATTCCTAAGTCCTGTACGAGAGCCCCACACGCTTCTTTCAGCGAGCTAAGCTGAGACAGACACACCGGGACACACGATGCTTGTAGGGAAATTCCGACCCGTCGGTCTAGAGTTTAGGTGTTTAGGGTTTCGGGTGTGCCAGAATATCCAAGCAGGCTTATTGCAGGCGCACACGTGCACGGAACCGCAACACAAGACACAACAGCCAACGAAGCCCCCACCTAACGAAGCCCCGACCTAGAAAACTCAAGGAAAAGCCTTCGCGCCGACGACCACCGAGTAAGAAGTTTTCCAAGAACACTGCACGGCAGAAGAGCGAAAGAAGCCAAAACGAAGCCTGCAGACTTTGCGTACCACGCGCAGTGTGGAATGTGCGGGTCAGCACCTGCATCAGCATCGAACTAAAGCAACATATCCGCCAGGATTTCAAGAAAGCACCTAACACTTGCCAGGGTCAAAGCGAGCAACACGGGTCAGTCTGGTCCAGGTTCGGCAACAGACCCAGAACCTTTTCAAGAATTTCTTGAATCGTCAACTCTTCGTCCTTTCCTCCAGAACCCTCTAAGGCCGTTCCAAGCGGACTCCTGGGGGCCTCCGGTGTGTCGGACATTTCCCAGGTCGATTTTGCAACCCACTCTTACAGGGTGATCCCGGCTCTTGAGAATCATGGTCCAGGTGTCTTCTGAGTTTAGGCTTTGGTGACGGAGGGTTGGTGTTGCTACGGGTTCAGGTTTCCACGGTTCCAAGCGGTTCAGGGGTTCGCGGGTGTCGCTAAGTACTTCCGCCTGACATTCTGAATAGTGCAGGGAGCGCAGGTTTCAAGTTGGCCAGAGGTTTATGGTTCGGATGCTTGCCGGACTTGAGGATCTGATTAGTTGAGATGTTTGCTAGGTTCTGGCCTTAGACTAAGCTTGCCTAAACTTGTCTAGCTTCTCGGCTTGGGCAAGATTGGGGATTCAGGACTGCCTTGTTAACTTTCAGGATCATGAGTTGTGGTTTCTGTCCGGCCAAACCCTGAACGTTTAACGTCTCAAACCCTCAGTCTTACACCTGTCGTCTCCTTTTGCTCGGCAGGTGCGGCCTTTTGGGGGACCAATGCCCGTCGAAGCAAACCCTCCTGGAGCGGCGTGGCCTTGTTAGGTTCTGTGATTTGGTGACGAGGTTCCTGGGTTTTTTTTAGCTTCTGTGCTTCAAAAAGGGCATGGGGTCTTCGTACGCTGTAATAGGAGCTCGTAGTCCGGCGTGATAGGCGGCGAATTCTGTCGGGGTTGGAGCCTCGAGAGTTCAAAGGCATCTGGACATTCGGGCTTCAGAGTCCCAGGACGTTGGGATCCTGGTGAGCATTTAGGGCTTACCCGTACCCGTTTCAGAGGGTCCTGGCTCAGGGGCTCACAGCTTTTATTCTTGACCCAACTTCCGAGGCCATGCCCAGTGGTTGTGTCGGGGCCTCCGGCGTGTCTGACATCTCTCAGGCGCATAGTGAGATGTTGAGATAAGATTGGGAATTTGGTTTACCAATTTGAGACGTAAGTTGAGTGATAATGGTTCAGCAAAGAGCACAGGATTCTCACCACTGTAAGGGAAAATTGCGCGCGAGGTACCTGCAGTTCAGGATTAGAGGCCCCTCATTTTCTGACATTTCCACTCAAACTTCAGACTTTCGAGGCCGTTGCAAAGCTTTCTGAAGGCACAAAGCGAACACAAGCAGAGCCCAGAGGTTTTGGGTTTGTTTTGTTCAGCCGAAATCCAGACCTCCAATGATCCAAACTGGACCCAGTGCCCACAACCTGCGAAGCAAAGGCCTTGCGCCCAAGCAGTAAAAGTGAGCAGCGAACAGGTCCGGCCTTTTGGGGTTCCCACTGCCGGCGTGGTGCGCAGGGTATCGATGGGGGCACAGCAGGATATTGTTCTGGGTAAGATTGGAATGCTTGTTGGTATTTGACACAACTCTTGACATTGAAGTTTCTTGTTTGGGTAGGTGCGGGGTCCGCGAGTCCCAGAAGCTGGGGACTTTGCTAGCTTTGCCTCCGGCCCTGTTTGTGACAAACGTGCGGGCGCTGGGTACCAAACTCCAGCCCGAAGTTGTTCTCTCTGCAAGCAGGGGGCTTCAAGTCTCCGGCGGATGTTTTGGCGCAGGGCTTCGCTGTTAGAGGTCTCTTTGCCATTCGGAAGTTGACAGAACGTGTGACACCCTTTCGTCTCAACTGCCAGGGCTGCTGTGGTGGGCAGTCCAACAAGGCTGGGACTGGCTTCAGACTAGCCCCTTGAGTGTAGAGGGTCGGAGGCCCAACACCGTAACCGTTTGGCCAAACAGTGTGGGAGCTTCAATCCTTGGCCCTGAAGCACTGGAAGCCCATCCTTGCCAAGTCTTCGGAGAGGTCATAGATGCATCGCTCCCGCCGACGCTCCCACCGTCGCCGGCGCGCCGGCGGAAGCAAATTAATGCTTTCAGAGAGTTGGGTCCATAAATGGATGAAGCTTAAGGCTCGGCTTCGGATCAGATCGACCGGGCCGCGATTCGCCGACTGGCAGCGCAGCGGAGTCACGACGGCCCCAACAAGCCCGAAACGCATTCGCTTGGCAGAGGCCAGCTCGATGCAGTTCGGCTCGCAGTGGCCGACGGAGCAGGTTCTGCCGGCGCCCCTCGACCCGTTCAGGCAAAAGGGGGGTGCGCATGACGTTTTTTGTTAGGGGCAATATTGCTACCGCGGCATCAAACATTAAAAACCATTGGCTGCACAAACACCCCTCAGTCCCTCAACCCTCCCCGCTGCAATATCTCAAAGTTTCTGAATCTGAAAGCTGTCTCCAAGGACAGCAGGGCCTCCAGTTGCCAGTGGCCGCGGAACTCCTGTGACCCGGCTTTCCATGGTTTGGGATTAGCCCGGGTGACGGATTTCCCAGTTTCAGCCTCTTACTTTTCCGTGGAGCTATGGCTTTGTCCTGAAAAGTTCATGCCAGTGAACCTCCCACTGCAACCTCTCATCCATGAGTTGCTTCTTCCGGAAATGCAGAACTTCAGGTGGCCTCCCGACAGCTCTCGCCCAGCCAGGTGCGAGGGATGCGAGGGAAACCGGCAACCCAGGATTGCAAGAAATCAAGCCTGGAATCGAGGATTAGACCTCTGCGACCTATCCAGTAAGCAAGAGAACGAACCTCGCCAGACCTCCATTTTAAGACATCCAGCCCTGACAATCTCGGCGACATCGATGCTAGGCGGCCCGCCACCCCAGACCCAGAGTAAGCCTTGGGGAAGGCCTCCATACCACCCTCGCCGATGGGCACCACCCAGGCCTGGACCCGAACACGCTTGGATCGCCATACTCGTTTGGGGTCTTCAGTGCAGATCTGGCTGTGAGTGTGTGTGCGTGCGTGTGTCTGCTTCGTTTGGTTCTTGTGGACTTGGGAGGGGTGACTTTTAGATGGAACATACTATCCAGTGTGCTGGGGACCGACTCCGTGAAAGGAGACCGTAGTGTTGGAAGCAGGGTGGTCTCGGGTTAGGGTGGTCTCTTGCCATCGAGTGTTGTGCTTCTACTCAGACCATCATGCCGACGCACAATGCCATCGCCACCAACATACCCAGCCCAGCATTTTCAGTCTGAAGAGACCCAGCATCTCAACTCTTTGCAGGCTACCCGTAAAACGAGGCTCGCTAGCACCTGAAGGCCAGAGAACACTCCGCTGAGGTCGGCCCTCCCACTGCAGCTCTCCCTGTCAGGGCCCGAGTTGCCCAGTGCTTCCCCATTTTCAGAGCACAAGGTACTTCTGAGTTTAGGCCGAAGGTGCTGTTGACGGTCCCAAGTGTAAGACTGTCATCGCGAAGTCGGGTTTGCCGCGCAGGGCTTCGCGGCTCAGGGCTTGAAATGGCTTTCGGGCTCAGCAACACAGGAACAGCCTTCCCCTTGAAATCCACATGGGCCAGGGTGGCCCTCCACTGCTACCTGGAGGCTCGGTGAGGCGCGGACGATTTTGCGAGTCTCTAGCTCGAGGATGGGGCCGAAAGATGGTGGGGCTTGGAGTTGGAGTTGATGATTCTGGCTTCAGGGTGTTTGCAAAAAGGGTCAGGGATTCAAGCTCAATTTTGCAGTGTCGCTTCCATGCCTGAGCCTCCAGGCAAGTCGACTGCTTCATGCAGTGGTCGCACCATGTCGGAGATCTCCACACTTCTGAGTCCTTAGTAGCCCCCGCGGCCCTGGATCCCAAAGCAGCATCAATGTAGTAAAGTTCTCATGCTCTCTCTGTGTCGCAGAAATTTCCAGTACATCACAGCAGGGCCCAAAATAGATGCCTGGCCTTAGGTTGTTGGGCTTCTCTCTGCCAAGTCCCCGACTGGAAGTGATGGACAGAGGGGAGCTGAGGAAAGAGCACTTGAGCTTCTCCGGTTACTTAAAGTAGGTGCACAGTAGGCAAGCGCTCCGATCCTCAGCTCCAACTACTACAATGAACCCCAGAGCTCTAAACCCGGCCGAGCAGGGCTGCTGGCACAGGTGAGTTCGGATCGCCGCTTCGGCTGCAGAGGGTCGGTTGCTCCCTTTGTAATGACAACTGTCCGAGACATGAGCAACAGCAGGCATGAAGACATACCGTTCTTTTGTACTGACAGTAGTTGCAATTAACCTGGTTACAACTATGAGAATGGCCACACGCATACGCAAGGAGGTTGAACAGGACTTACTTGTGTGTGTGCTTCATGCAGGATTTTCAAGCTACGGGGAGACACAGTGCCATAGCGTCCACTTGTTCTGAGCGTCTGCTGCGATCTGATGCGCACTATAGATAACATTGAGTCACATTCTGCAGATCGCAGCATGAGATAACAAGCTTAGCTGTCAATGCATGGTGACTATGGCTACAGGTGCAATCATGACCAGAAGAAGACCAGGTCTGCCAACAATGCTAGCATCATCAAACACATGCCATGACAAGGCCAGCACGGCATTGTACAGTAGTGGTGCGGAGGCGTTCAATTGGCAAGAAATACGGCATCCCCTCTGCCAGGAAGCGGGCAAACATCTGAGCGATAGCTTACCACGACCAATCTAATCTTAATGTCGAGAGTAGCAACACGAATAATAACTCTGCGTGCTTCTGGTTCTTGTGATCAATACCAGCAGTGTCTCCTCCACCATCATCATATCGACCATCATCATTATCATCATCATCATCATAAGTCGCCACATGCGTCAACATGGTTATCAACATCATCACCATCACCACTATCGCTATCACGCCTGCTGGTAAAATACCCGCGCTTCAGCAATCTTGTAAGATGCCAAACTCAACAGTTAGTGACTCGCCTCAGGCCTGGCGTGCTGCCCGGTCCTCCAGAGGAGTTTTCGGGGGTTTGAGGGTGTTTGATGCGTATAGAAAAGTCTAGCCCGCTTCCATGGTTCATTGATAATTATACAGTTGGTGGTACGTCGCTATACGTCCAATCTGTCTGTGATGTCTTATGGGCAGTAAGTCTTGCCTCCCTTTGATGATTGTTGATCTTTCCTCCGTACGCGGGTTTCATGGTTCGTGGTTTTGGGGCCATGGCTTTGGAAGTCTTGCGGTTCAACTCTGACTTGCATGAGGTTTGAGCGGCACAAGGGCCTACGGGGAGTTTCGAGTGCAGGAGCAGGCGAGCTTCTAGTGGATCGCGTATCGCTGGTTTCTCGAAAACCCTTGCGTCAAACCCTGCAAAGCTGCGCCATCTGAGTACTTCATCCAACCTGACTGCAGTCATTATGGATTTTATTGAAGATATCTTCAACGACCCGGTGCAGGAGACTCAGCAAGGCTGGTTCTCTTGGTGTGGGCCACAGTTCGACCTGAGTGGGATGGAGATCGTAAGCAAAGCGCTAAGCTCGACCGGCAACGGAAGCATGTGGTGGTTCTTTTCATTCTGAACGACACCACCCCCAAGGCTTTTCGGGGGCCGGAGCGCCGAAGCCGAGGCACAGGCTTGGACCGTGGCCTTTTTTCGGGCCCTGCATGATGACGGCAGCCACTGTCAACACCATCACTAGCAACAGCCGCAGCAGCACCCACCACCACTAGTGTTGCAACGGGCCATAGCACTCGATGGAGTGTAAGTGTCTGTATTGATGGCGATCAGAGCGTAAGAGAAACTTGGTTTGGGTGTCAAAAGTCTTCACCGGCGTAGTAGTAGTAGTAGTAGTAGTAGTAGTAGTAGAGGAGCAGCAGTAGCAGTAGCAGTGCTTGTAGCAGCAGTAGTAGTCGTCGTCGTCGTAGTAGTGCTAGTCGCAGTACTTCTACTCCCGATCCCTGTTCACAATGCTGCATTATCAATCAAAGCCAGAGGACAGCCTGCAAACCAGCCACTGACATGCAACGGAGCATCACGCCAAGTGCAGCTCTCCTGAGCAAGCCCCTAAGCCCTAACTTTATTGCAGGAGGTGTTCAACATAGCAAAATGTCAGCCTCAGGCAGCTCCAAAGATGGGCTCCCAGTTTGTGGTGCCGCGTGGCTCCATGGGGGACGCTTGTGCTGCATTCCAGCACATCTGCATTTTGGATTCGGAGGCTTGGAGTTAGGGTTTAGGGGCTTCATTCTAGGATTCGGAGGATATTGAATTTACGGATGTTCAGAGTGCAACCTAATCTGAAAGAAGGATATAAGGTTTAGGCGTAGGGGCTTAATTTCTAAATAGGGTTCGGAGGATTTTGGATACACCGATGTTGAGATTCAGAGTGCAACCTAGTCTTAAAAGGCGGTATAGCCAGGCAGAGCCTTTGTCAAAAGCCAGGTTTCCATGTCCTACAGTCAGAGTATGAAATTCGAAGCCTGCACCTCGTAGCGGAAGAAGAAGAAGTACTAGAACAACGATGACAACGATGGCGCCAAAGACAACAACAACAGAGACAGCAAAAGCAACAACATCTACAACGGCAACGACAACGATAACGAGAACGATAGCGACAGCGATAGCGACATCCACCACAAGAGCAGCAACAACAACAACAACAGCAACAACAACAACAAAAACAACAACACTATCGAACACATAGACACACACCGACAAGGGCTGGTAAGATCAATGTTGGTGTCAGCATCACCATCATCATGCTCGTGCATTACCATCATGAAGACGACGGCAGAACTAGTCTGCTAGAATATGGTCCTGTCCACACGAACCTGAACGGGTCTCTTCAAAAAGATGTTCTGTCTAGCTACTCCTTAGAAACTGTTTCCATGATTTCGGGTTTATGGCCAGAATTTTCAATTATTTGGCGGCGGGCTCTTTGCATATGATTATGATGTCCACACGCTTCAGAGATCAGGCTCCGAGGGAGGGCGCTGTGCTCCGGTGTAGACATGAAGTGTTCAGTTCGAGTCAGCGGGAGGATATAGGGTTTAGGTGTAGGGGTGTAGTATAAGTTCTGGTCCCTGGTGTTATGAAGTTTGATGCCAT